TCAGAGACTGCAGGCGTCAGACAGGGTGGGAACGTGGCCGTTCCGTGGGGCTCAGCACATTTTTGTTGATGTTCACCCGAGGACGCTATTATTAATCGAGCTTAACTTCTAACTCTCCGTCTTCTGTTTCACAATAAATTATCCTCCTGGGGGGAGCCTGGCGAGCTCATTTGTATTAGGTGTCCATGACCGAAATTAATAAGACAGAGCTCACTGCTCACGTGGGCACATAAGGGAACAGGTCCCCCGAGGGCCGCTTCTGAAGGGCAGGGACATACTCCAAGAAAGGGGTGAATTCTGAGATAAAGGTAATTTTTTATGAGCCCCAGCTGACTGCTACAAGGACCTGGAACCTAGGGGAGACGATTTGGCCCAGGTCACCCTGTCTCCAGCTCCCAAGGCAAGGCTTGTCCATCCAACCCGAATGGGCCCCATCCAGCCAGGGGTCTGTGCCTCCAACCCCAAGCGTCGAGACCATCCCCTTGACCCCTGTCCGTCAGCCCCTCTGCTCTCCCGTGCACTGGCTGATGGCCTCGCTGAGTCCTGCTCCTCAGCTAGTGCCAAATTCAGCCATCCTTCCCACTGCACCTCTCCACAAGGATGTTGCAAAGAAACGCCCAATTTTTTTTAAGATTTATTTATTATTTATGCATATGAGAACTGGGGTGCAGGCCAGAGGTGTGGGGTGTGAGAGGATTCACCAGAGACAGAATGGGGAACAGAACAGGCAGACTGACTGAAATACACTGCTGAGGGGAGCAGCGGGAGAGTCAGGAGAGGTTTGCTGCGCCATGTGGGTAGCTCCCTGGCCGGGGATAGAACTCATGCTGCAGTGGCTGCGGACAGCTTCATAGGTTGCGTCTGAACCCTTTGCACCACCAGGGTGGTCCAGAAACCCCAAATTTAACACATCCAATGAAACTTTGCTTCCAGAGTCTCTTCCTCCATGGATAAGACTACTCTTTACCCAATCACGCAAACTAGAATGTTCACAGGAAACTTTAGCCCGCGTCTCTCATCTCATTCAATATGAAGAACCGGCGTTATTTGCAGGCTGATAGAATTATGTGCATTGAACAAACAGAAGAAGCTATTAAAAAACTATTAAAATGAATAAATCCATTTGGCAAGATTGTTAGACATAAGATCAAAATGAAAAATCCTATTTTTATGTAATATCAATAAACAACTGGAAATGTAAAATTAAAAATCACAATAACATCAATATAACATGATGAGCAGGGTCTCTACGCAAACCATGATAAAAGATTGCCGAGGGAATTTAAAGACCAAAATAAATGGGGAGGGCTGCTGTGCTTTGAATGGGAAAATGCAACATTTTGATTTCAGTTCTTCCGCCCCCCAAAGAGGAATATATTTGCTTAAATTCCAGGAGGTTGTTTTGGCAGAAATTGACTAATTCTAAAATTAATATGTAAGATGACATCTCCTTTCACTCCCCCCTCCCAAAAGATGTAAATTAACTAATGAGATCCTCCCAAAGTGAAAGAAAGAAGACGATTTACTCAATGCCACAAGTAAGCAACGGAATCAGAGCAGCTGGGCACTGGCACAAGGAGAATGGACACAGCCACACACACACAAAGTCACACACACAGTCACACACACATCACCTGATTTACAGCAAAGCTCCCTCATTAATTCAGCTGGGAAAGAGTGGGGTGGTGGGTGTGGGGAGCAGTTCAAGAGTCAGGGCTTCACTGGCCTGACCCTAAAGAAACTGTGTCTGGAAGGAAAGCAAAATAGACCGTCCGAGAAAAAGCAGTGTTTGGGAAATTATCGCCTCTGGACAATCAACAGCTTCCAAGAATATCAGCTCCGAGGTCTAAAACTCCCAGGTCCCAGAGGAAAAACTTGAAACATGGGGTAATTTTAAGGGCCCTCTCTGTGTTCCTCAATGCACAGGTAAAGAAGAGCTAACGGCAGATAAACACCTTCAGCCCAGCCTGCCGGATTTTCTTTGGCTGATCCAAGGTGGCTGCTCAAAGGCGTCTCATCCCAGCAGCTCAGAACTCAGGCAGCTTCCCCACAGCCCTCTGGAGGCTCTTCCCAGGCTCGAGTCCTCAGTCTAGATGCTTTCATAACTCACTTGCTTTTGCTTGCCTCGAACAGGGATTATTTTGAGTGTCATATTTGTCTACACCTGTGTTTACTTTCATTTCAAAACCATAAGATCATAAAGAAACTGGGGGAGAGAAGTTAGAACACCCTGGAGCTGTCCCATCCCTGCCCACCTCTCCAGTCCCACCTGCCCCCCATAAAACATAAAAAGCAGCAGGTGGCTGGGGCAGGCACACAAGCCTCTTCAGGAATAAACTGAGCCTGCAAGTGTTAAGACGGAGGAAGCAGCCGCAGGAAATGCTTCCTCCTAAGAAGCGGGTTTGTACTCGGGAGCAAACCAGCTTTGCTCGTTTGCAACACTGCACTTCATGCATCCTTCTCCTTGCCCAGTGACCCTAAGAGAAGCTGACCTGAGGGTATAGGGTGCCAAGTCACTGGGTCTGTGTCATTTAAGGGCTAAGAGGATTTGTTTTACTTCAGGTGTTGACTCAAGCCTCAAAAGACATGTGATTTGCCTGACATATTTGCACAATACAGATCATATAAGTGATATTTTATGGTGTTCCCATGATGTGTTTCCGTAAGAATGTAATGTCAGAAAGGGAAAAGTGCAACCTGATGTGTGTTTTTTCCCCTGTGGTTTTTTCCGGCCTCATGTTTTTCTGGTCCTAATGCAGACCTGCCACTAGAGGGCACCACACAGCTTCGCTTCCGCAGGCCTTGGGCGTGAGGGAACCTGACCCGGGTTGCTGCAGGGCACCCTGAGGCTTTAACCAGGCTGGGTAGGGGTCTGCGGGTCTGTGGGGGGAAGCTGCAGTCCCAAGCTTGACCCACCCAAGGCCAGTTCCCACTCCCCGCATTACTAAGAGCAAAATGGTCCTTGTGTAGGGTATCCTGCAGATGCTGGAGCCAGACAAGAGGGAGAGGCCTGGCCTCCCTGGTGGCGCAAGTGGCTAAGCACAGCGCTGTGAAGCTGTCCGCAGCCTCTGCAGCAGGAGTTCGATCCCCGGCAGGCCAGGGCGCTACCCACGTGGCACAGCAGACCTCTCCTGACTCACCTGCTGCTCCCCTCAGAAGTGTATTTCAGTCAGTCTGCCTGTTCTGTTTCCTGCTCTGTCTCTGGTGAATCTTCTCACCCACCCCCACCTCTGGCCTGTACCCCAGCTCTTGTATGCATAAATAAATAAATCTTAAAAAAAAGAGGGAGAGGCCCTACAAACACAAGAGACAGATCAGGCAGGAAGGCAAATGAACTAGTGGGTGAGTCTCATTGGAGACCCCAAATGGTTAAGGCCTCGCCCTGTCGCACGGCAGGCAGTCACATCGAGAAAGGTGCTCTAGGAGGAGGATCAGCTCAGAGGCGAAGGGTGGTTTTAGACAGATTTTCCTTTGCTTCTTCTGCCTCAGCAAGGGGCCTCCAGATCAGGACTAACCGAGCTGAGTATACATGTGTATACACCCCCTCGCCCCAAGTCTGGCTCAGGGAAGTGGCTTTTCTCTGCACCACCATATTCATTTGATATTTATTCATTTATTATCAACTGTACCCCGCCTTTCAGTGGTAGAGAAGGCAGGCATGTCCTCCTAGAACTTAAAGTGGGTGAGACACAAAGCTGGTTGCAGTGTGTGTGATCCGCCCTACATCAGGGAAGAGCAGGGTGCTGCATGCGTGCAAAGGAGGGTGGTGATGCAGACTTAGGAAATCAGGGAAGGCTTCCTGGAGGAGAGTGTATCAAATTGAGAACCCGAGCAGAACAGAAGAGGCCTTGCAGGAAGACAGGAGATGTATTCCAGGCAGAGGGCCCATGGCACAGAGTAGAATTAAATAGGCTTTTATTTTCTGGGAATGTTCTGCTAATACCTATCTCCATCTACCCAGTCAATGATTTTTTTTCCCCTACAGATCCATTTCCTGAAGCTGCAGTATCAGCTTCATAAATAGCTTTTTTTAAAACCTCAAAATGGGTGAAAATGTAAATATGATATATTTGACAAATTGCTGACTTAGCAAGGTGAGTCTCTGGGTCAAACCAGAAAGCCTTTCACAAACAACTCTTACAGGAAGGTGATTTACGCAGCGGCCCATCACCTTCTTCTGAGCTTTTTGGATCAAATTCATCTTGTTTTGGATCGCCTTCATGTTGCTTACGTTCTACCTCCCTTTAAAGCTGATGCTCCTGAGCTCACCACACTCATCTCAGCCTGATGTGCAAGATGTCGGGCAATTTGGTTTCCAGTGTTTGAAGTTACTGGCTTGGCATTAGCTTATTCTTGCTCGGGGAGGTGGGTTTTGGAGCGATGTCACTCCCAGCTCTGCGGACGTGTGGACAGGGTTCAAACCCTATTTTGAATGAAAGAGTCCTTCCTCTCAGTATTCTTAAATGGCTGGATGATTTGGCATGAGTTTGACTTTTTTCAAGCCTCCGAATGCCCCAAGGTAGTGTTCGCAGATACATTTATTTGACATCTAAGAGAACACTTCCTTGCTGGCTCCCAAGATACTCCACATTAAAAATGAGAAGAGTCCTAGATCCCTAACAAACACCTCTGCCTGACTCATCCTGTCCTCCTCGTTCTTCTTTGAAGCAACATTGAACACGTCCTAGGTTTCAGGGGGGCAGCCTTATAAATCATCACCTGCAGAAACCACACAATGCCCCCAGCACAAGTCCAGACAATGCCACTTAATTTATGCAAAGAAAATGTAACGCCTAGCAGCCAGTCCCTTGAAATGCAGCTTTTGCTTAACACTGTAATAATCCCAGTGAAGCAGATATCCTTGTATCTTTATGCACAGCTGTTAAACAATTTTGCATTTTTTTAAATGCCTCCCACGCCTATCAGCTCATGGCGGCCCAGGGATCGTGGGCTTGACAGATAAGGGTGTGCAGACTGGGGGCCTGAGGTTGCCGCGTCCAGTCATCCTTGGTGGCTTCCTTGCACTAACTTTGAGCTCAGGATCTCAGGATGTACAGAAAAATAATCCTGGAAATGCTTTTGTCAGGTAAGTGAAAAAAAATTTTTTTTTAAAGATTTATTTATTTATTTATAAAAGAACCAGGGTACGGTCCAGATGCGCGGGAGGGTGAGAGGATTCACCAGAGACAGAGTGGGGAACAGAACAGGCAGACTGATGAAATACACTGCTGAGGGAAGTAGCGAGCGAGACAGGAGAGGTCTGCTCGCCATGTGGTTTGCGCCGAGGCCAGCGGGGATCGAACCGGCACTGCAGAGGCTGCGGACAGCTTCACAGTGCTGTGCTCAACCACCTGCGCCACCAGGGGAGGCCCAGTGAAAAATTTTTTTAGCATGATGCTGTTATATTGGATCCAACACTATAGATTCAAATAAACTATTTGGGTTCTCGCTTACTTAAATGAATAAGTAAATGAAATTTCTTGGGGGACTCACCTGGCAAACTGTAGGTATGTAGGAATGGCCGGGGGAGGGGGCCGATGGGAGGGTCTGGCAGGGGGAAAGCAGTAACTAGAAATTACTGGATCGCAATTTTCCACTGTGAAAAGCATGCTTCAACGCTTAGCCCAGCTAGAATCAAAAGCATTTTATCAAACCTGATGAGAAACATCTCTGTGTGAATAACTGTGTTGCTTTGTTTGAGTTTTAATGAAGTTAATTTCTAAGTTAAAGGGCCATTAATGAAGGTGATGGTGGATATATAACCCTCTGCTTTAAAAAAGTTTCCCCAAAAATTATAATTTCCTCCCTCTCCTGCCAAAAAAGGTACAAACCTGAACCCTGAAACCATAGGGGAGTCGTTTGCCTTTCCGTGGGTCCATTGCTGAGGTGTGAGGCCGGAAAAAGAGAAATCAGCTCTTATTGCTTAGGTGTTATGTGGTTTGCGGAGAAATTTAAACCAATCCATTAAAATACAGAAATAACCTAGGGGTGTTATAAAGGTGTATTAAATTAGCATTATTTGTGGTCTCTTGCTAAGAAGGTTATGGTTAACATCTTCTCAAACACAGCGCTTGTGTGTTAGAAACAGATAAGGCCAAGCACTTGCTAGTCCTTTCTGGACAGACTTAGCTCTGATGACAGCCGGCATTGGGGATTGAGGGGCGCTCCCTCGGAGCCAGAGAAGGGATCAGCATTTTCCAACCACATTCAGGGAAAAAAAGAGTGTGATGCTCCATAGGTATTCAGAGATATAATTTGTGTGGTCCCGGAAGGTTCCATGTTAATCAAAATTAGAAATTGGAGGCGGCGGGGTGGCGAGGGGAGCACAATATTTGGCACAATTTTGTGTGGCTTAGAACTGCCCAAAATTTGAAAAAGATTGCTGGAAAAAAATTGATTCTTCTTCTACAGCTTCCTGGCTAGGGAACAGATTAGGGTCACCCCAGCTTCCCGCCAAAAGTCTTTGTACCCTCTGAAGCCTTCCAAAGAACCTCTCTTATGTGACTGCTTTATAGACTGTGGACCCAAGTCAGGCTCTGAGGTTAAGAAACAATCTGAAAACACAGGATCGGATTCTTCATCTAGGAAATGGTGTCACTACCTGAAGCCTCTAAAATGTCCCAGTTACTTAAAAATAGTTGCACACTACACCCCCCCACCAAGGTCTGCATGTGCTGGCTTCCTTGGGGGACCCAAAGGCACAGACCGGTGCTTCCTGCACAATGTGTCTCAGGCTGGAGGGGAATCAGAAGGAACAGGGAAAGATGGAAGGGAAAAATGCCTGTTTTCATGCTTCAGACAAAAAGAGCACTCCCCGGAGCCAGGCCTTGTGGACAGCAGTGTGGGTGACTCAGCGATTCTCAGCTGGGAAGCACCTGCTCAGAGTGATTCAGCAAAAAAGCAAAGCACCTTCTTTTTCTTCAGTGATCCCAGAGCCTTCCTCCCCATTTAAGTGTAACAAAAAAGAGTTCTGAAGGGCTTTTCAGGGCCCACAGTCTCAACATTTCTTAAAAGTAAAACCTGTGTGTTCCCTCATGCACCCCCCATGCTGCTGGGCAGAGGAAGCTGTCCACAAGTGGTAGCTGTAGAACTGAGATGTGACCAGAATTTTGCCACCGACTGGTTTCACAGACCCCAGTAAAGCCCCCTGAATCTCACTCTCCTTGTGCCTGTTCAACTGTCTGCCCTTGGCATCTAAAAATCCCTTCCTGGGGCCTCCTGGTGGCACAGGGGTTAAAGACAGCACTATTAAGCTATCACCAGCCACTGCAGCATGAGTTCGATTCCTGGCTGAGTTCTCCCCGCCAGCCAGGGAGCTACCCACATGGCGCAGCAGAGCTTTCCTGCCTGGCCCGCTGCTCCCCTCTACAGTATACCTCAGTACATCTGCCTGTTCTGCTCCCCACTCTGTCTCTGGTGAATCATCTCATCCCCCACAGCTTTGGCCTTCACTCCAGCTCTTATATGCATAAAGAAATAAATATTTAAAAAATAATAAATGGGGCCTCCCCTGGTGGTGCAGCAGTTGAGCACTGGGCTGCAAAGCTGCCCGCAGCCTCTGCAGCGCCGGTTCGATCCCCGGCTGCTCCCCGGCCACCGGAGGAGGGTCCCACATGGTGCGCAGACCCCTCCTGCCGCCCGCTGCTCCTCTCAGCAGTGTACTTCGGTCCTTCTGCCTGCTCTGCTCCCCGCTCTGGCTCTGGTGAATTCTCTCACCCTCCCGCGCTTCTGACTGTACCCAGTGCTTGTATAAAACAAAAAAACAAAACAAACAAACAAATAAATAAATAAATAAAAACATGCCTCTGTTAAAAAAAAAAAAAAGAAAAAAAATCAATAATAATAATAATAAATAAAACTCGCTTCTCTGGGCCTCAGTGAGTCCTCAGACGCCAGCCTAGATGAGCAGCAGACTTGTTCCCAAGCCTGTACATCTCTTTGCTTTGGTGCCAAAGAAATGTTTTCTTTCTGTTAGGGAAGGCGCACTGCATTATCAGTCCTGCGAGTGTCAGGTGTGCGCTGAAGGGCAACGAGTGTTGTTTGCGCTCAGGTCCCTGTAGAAAGTCCAAGTCTCTTGTTCCCCAGACTGCCGTCCCCTTTTTTTGACTTAGCCACCACGATTTCTCCTCTTACAGTCCAAAGGGTTCTTTGCATTTAGCTCTTCTTTGCATTTAGCTCATCTACATGCCTAGGAATGAAACTGGCATTTGAAAAAGCAGGAACACTCCTCTGTGGGTTCCTTTGGAGAGAACTCAGGGCAGGAGAAAGACGAGACTGTTCCTCAAAACTGGCTTCTGCTAAATTCAAAGTTGAACTGTGTCTTGGGATGAATTTCTTTTGACTTTGGGTTCCAGGGGATTATTGGAAACATCTATGAATCTATCTGGGAAGCATGTTTTAAGTGACGTCCCTAACTTGTCTTTCTAGGTTCTATTTCTACACCAACCGCCATCCTCACAGTTTTTACTTTGAGTTACCTGGCCATGGCCGATGATGTTACTCCTGATCCAGCTCAGTTACCCACAGGTGGGTTATGGATTTCCAGTCACTGTTATCAGTTTAAATTCCTGGTAGAAAATGGGGGAAGAATCGAATTACAAGTCTCCTGCCAAGTTGTTTCTTCCAATCTGAATTGAAAATGGGACCTCTTTGTGAGTGACCACAGGCATTTGGCCATTAACCCCCTGTGACCTTACCTTGTTAATGTTCTTTGACAGTTTCCACAGCGGAACTTCACAGTACCCTAGCTACTAAGTACACAAGTCTACCAACAATTCATCCAGAAGGTGAGTTGGCCACATCACAAAACCATTATGTAAAAACAGAAGGTTTGATTTTGTTTTTTTAAATAGGTCTATGTTTTAATTTTTTAACTGTGTATATTTGTTTTCACACATTCAGTCAAGAAAAAGGAGACTTTTTGAAGATGTTAATACTCTTACTGAATACTTTCTAGGTACCACGCACCAAGGATTATTTCATTTTATCGTGACAACAACTCCACAGAGTAGGTATCATTCCCATGGCCCAGATAAAAGTGTTTCAGAAAGTTTTAAAAACTTGCCTGAGGTCAGGCAGTCAGTGATCTGGGTGCAGGTCCAGAGAGTCTGACTATAGAGTCTTTACCCTTAGCCAACTCATTCTCCTCCCATCCCCCAAAGAGAACACCCACCATTTCCTTTTCTGCAATCCAGTCATAAGCACCTCTGGCGTTCTGGTGCAAATCTTCCAGGTATTTTTTCTATGCATGTTTATAAATATGTACTTTAAAAATACTAGATAGAATATTCCTGACACCTGCCTTCTCTTCATTCAAAGAACATTTTTTCCATGTAATGATACAGGTTCTGGCTTCTGGTGGATAGTCTGGGAAAGGAAACAGACAAATGCAATTCACCTGTGCAGTCAGGTGTGCATTTGACACAGAGGTGATGTTCCAGGCTGGGCTCTTCCTTACTCTTGCTCCAATGTCACTCGGGGTTCTGCTGAAGTTGGATGGTCTTTCTTCAGGTCCGGCTAGTGAATGCTAACTGTATGACAAGGATATTAGCCTTGTATGCCTTGTTACCAGGGTGAGATCATCTTTTTATCTCGGGATCTCCCTTTAACATTCTATCACTCTTTATTTCTCAGTCACGATCGTATTTAAAAATCAACACAAAAGAAATCCAAAGCACAAAATACGAGGATAGTTCATTTATTGACAGCCACTGGGAAGATGACTCGTGGCAGTGAAATTTCATCTTGCTAGAAGATGTATTGCACAGATTAGCCTCTGGTATCTTTCCAGGGATATTCTGTCAGGGGCAAATATCAAAAGCATCTTGTCAGGCAGTTCAGCACCGTTACTTCTAAGTGAGTGTATGAGAATGTGGGAACCCAGTCGAGATTATCCACATTGATTGATTGCTCGAAAGGCACACACATTAAGGACATGTGATGACGAGGCAGGTAGCACTCAGGCCCCTGCAGACGGTACCGCTGCTTTCTGGACCTGACACAACTGGAGGAAACAAAATTGCTCACTACTCTTACAATTCTGCCTTTTCTTTTTCTTTTGTCTTACTTTTCTTCTTGTTACTGAGCTATCATGACCTCTATTTCAGAATCATTGTGGAATCCATCCTTTAATAATATAAATTAATCCTTCCTGTCCTCTTTAATGTCTTTTTCATTAATTCTTTCTAACAGTCTAAAATGCTATTGCTGTTTTGATTTACTTTTTTTTTTTGGTTGACTATACTGTTGCAACTTTTTTAATTATTTTGGTTTTTTTGTACTGTTTCTTTGTTTTATGTTTTTTCTTCTTTTCCCTATTTTGACTCAAACTAATGGTGTTTGTCTCTTAATACAGAAATTTGATCCATAAGCATTTATGAATTCACATAAATTGAATTCACTGGTATTAATATATTTTTGTTATTTTTATTCCATACTTTCTCTTTTAAATGATTTATTTCTGATCTTCTGATATATATGCTGTTTTATTTGCCCTTGTCCTTTTATATGTTTAGAAAGTCTATAGCCTACTGATAGTTATCCCATTGGCTAACTTTATGTTTTTAAAAGCATTCTCACTCAGAATTCCCAAGCCATCTTAGCGGCACATTACACATAGATAGAAATTCTGAATGCTTTTATGTACCTGACATGGGCAGGATATAGTGGTTCTAGGCTGGGGTCAGCTGGCCAACAGCTTTGGGTGCCTTGAAGGGGTGACAGTTGTGTCAAGGTGAATGTGGGGCTCCATGCTATAACTTGGGCATCAGGGACCCACCTTCAGTTGCCACTGAGGTGGAATTTGCTAGATCAGCCCTGGCTCACAGAAATTTGTGGTTTGGGTGAGAAAAGATGAAAAGGGCAAAGGATATAGAACCTTGGATTCCTGGGTGACCACAAGGTCACCCACAGTAAAGATCAGCAGCTGTGATGTAACCAGTCACTAAAGGTAAATGTTACCAATAGAATTTAGAGGTGGATGCATAACATGAAATATCAATCCCTTAGCTGCTGTGATGGTATTAGCTAAAATGAAATTAAAAGGGAATTTCACGTGGGACCTTGATGTTAGAACAAAATCATATTTCAGGGAGTCTAGCGTTGGCCACTAGTCTTAAAGCCACCAGAAAGGGAGAAGTTATGCAGGATCAACAGGAAGTGCCTGTACAACCTCTGGTCACCAGGAAGGTAGTTTGCATAGAGAGAAGACACAGCCAGAAGCAATTGAAAGCAGGGATAGAGCGGGAAGGAGCCAACTCAGGTTGTAGATCCTATCGTCTACTTCCTGAGGAGCCTTTGCTGAAATGGATGGGTAGCGTGACTAACTAGGGGGCTGAGTCTTTGGTTCTGAATGCTGCAGAGAGAATATAACCAGCTCTGTGGACTGAACAAAATCCACTGTAAAATCTATTTACCCTGAGAAATGCAGGGGAGGCCAAGTAACACCCCAGAGGATGTTTTAGGTGTGCAAGCCACATGAGAGGGGCTTTTTTGATGACTCTTTAAGAGGTAGTGACAGAAGACTTGATTCAAAAAATGATATTAAAGGCTAATCAAAAAATAGTCTCAAATGTTGTCACACCAATCATTTTTCTTTTAAAGAGCGCAATTTCTCTGCACTATCATTGGCTACTTTGGCTTCCAAAAATCCTTCCAAAAATGAATAACAACAGACAGGTCGGATATTTGACTATATCACTGCAACTGGACCCAGGTTGGTCAATCTTTGGTTCAAGAGCAAAAGTGAATATTTCCCTTTAAAGACTGCTTCATGGCATAGACTTCTCCAAACATCTTTTGGAACAAGCAAAATCCTCATGAATACATTCATTCTTTACAAAATGATATGGTTTGGCAGAAAAGGATTGAATTGGAAGTCAGTAGATGTGAATTTCTGTTCCAGTTTTACCACAAATTAGCTGGGCAGAACTTCCAAAAATAAAATTAGCCATCAGTTTTCATGATCATCACAATGCCAAAAAACTACAGCACTTAGAAAATTTCATTTTCTGACTTGAAGATTCTTGAAGCATTTCCTATGCAGGGTGTACCCTGGCAAGAGTTTGCTTTTGCAAGATAAGACTTCTATCAGCTTCAGGTCAGGGGGTAAAGTAAACCGGCAAGAGCTGACTTTATCACATCAGGACAGAAGTCAACTCTGCAGCATGCCCACCCAGCCTCTCATTTGACTGCCATTCTTTCTAACGACATTCCATGTTAGAAATGGCAGCTGTCTGGGAAAGCCTAGGCTGGAGCATAAAGCAGTTGCTAGGCCACTGCTTCCAGCTGCCTCCCTAGGGGGCTTCTCCTTCTCCTCATTGTTGTGATGGAAACAATGTCTGAAGCCTCTCAGGCTCTCAGGCTGGGAGAGGAATCCCAAACAGCTGGGGTGTCAGAGCAGTGAGAATAAGAAGCAAAAGGGGTGAATGTTCTGGAACAACTCAGATGTGATACAAATGTAAGCTGTGAGCTAATCCGACCATGCACATTTGGAGTATCTTATATGCCTGGTGGTATATTTGTGAATTCATTCCACTCTTCCAGCTCTAAAATTATGTGACCCTATTCAGGTGACAAATGTGTAGTTTGGATAAAGTACCACAGCAATACCATTTTTCAGCATCTGAGGACTGAAAAACAAGTTTGTTTTTCACTAGGAGTTTGAGGGCTTTCTTGGCCAGCCCTTCGAATTTTTGTTGTCATGGGACATTAAACTCTTGACACCCTTTGCTTCTCAGCTGACCCCCAAACTCCAGGTGAGAGTAGGTTATATTCTGTTTCCCCCGTGTTTCAACCATGCTGTTTCCTTACCTGTTTTCCCCTCCTCCTCCTAAAACTCTACCCATCTTTCAAGGGTCAGCCAGTGAGTCACTGCAGGTAGACAAGGGGTAAGAGCTTCAGAGTGAGTTTCTTAGAGCCTGGCTAAGGGAATGTGTAGGGCAGGCCCAGGCCCAGGCCCAGCTCCTGGGTAGCGAGGTGCTGGACACATCTTCCATAATAGCCCCAAGTGAATAAGCTTCACTTGAAGAGAGAGGTGGAAGGTTCAGGGAGTCTAGTGTGTTCTTGCTAAGAGAAGTGAAGGCGTTACAAAAAGACCCTCATGTCAACATTGCTAGGGAAGAAAACAGTTTCTCTCAGAGGTTACAGCAAAAGAGTATTGAGGGCTAAGAGGCATAATATAAGCAGTACAATAAATGGATGTGAAAAAAAAAAAAATACATGATCACTACCAAAATGCAATCCTTAGGACAGCAGAAACCTCAAGGAATTTGGTTGGTATTTTCTCTGCACAATGCACCGCAATGTTCACCAACTAATATGCTAAGCCATCAAAGAAATCTTGCTAGTGGGCAGAGAGGCAGGAGGTAGAAACTTTATTGGAAATCAGCAGAATCAAGTATCTGTTCTGTTGTTCCCAGCTGTGCTAATCTGAGATCGTCACTTAATTTTCATAACAGATTTCTTTTCTGGCAAGAAGTTGGATTAGATGTTCCAAGAGAACTTTGAAAGGAAAATGTCAAAGTACATTCTGAATTAAGTAGAACAATATTTACATTAACCTTTAAGCTGCGAGCAATGTAAACAGACAGTGAGAGATGATGATTTAGCTACAAAAAGCCAGAGACTGGCCATTCAGACCCTCAGAGACTGAGGCCAAGCTGTGTCTGTTGCTTAATGGGTACAAATGTGCTTAGACGCTTTCCGCCAAGCTGACCCGATGCAAACTCAATTATAAAGAATCCTGTTTAAAATCTACTTTTTCACAAAAATTTGGTGACTCTCCTTAACGGAGTATGTCCAGAGATGTCCATTAGCCCATTAGGGCCCAAGGAGCGCCAGGTCCACAGTATGGCTGTCAGGGGCAGCCTGAGCACATCTGGGTGTTTGCTGGAGGTGCGCTGTGAGCCTTGGGTCTCCTTACCTTGAACTGTAAAAGAGACATGAGTGCCTGAGGCTGTGGAAAAAGATATTTCCTTTGTTTCTCCTCAGTGATTTTTTTTTAAACCACTCGCTAGTTCATTTAACTTCAGAAGATCTATAAAATTCTTGACATAAGTCCATCTTGGAAAACCAGCAATTTCTTTAAATTTAATTAAATACTAGAAAATATAAAAGCTGGCCTGTGTGACCAGAGCTATTGTTCTTTCAGCCAACACTGTGAACTCTGGACTTGGTTTTTTTGAACAGTTTTAGTAACAATTGCCCAAATAAAAAATGTTCAAACATTAATTTTAACAGTCTATGAAATATAAAAATCTACTCAGTCTGTTGCTGTTGAGAAGGCAATAAAAATAACAAGTCTCTGATCCCTTTTCATACATCATGTTAATTACTATTGAAATGTTTATAAGCATATTTTTTGGGGGGGAAAGGAAAGAAAAATTGTGACAAAAATCATTTGTCAACTACATTATTAGGTTGTGGAGAAAATGATATTTAAAAACATTTTCCATCCAACTGTTCTCAGGGCATTTATTTACTTACTGCTGGTGATTTTAGGTGACAGCAATAAGAAATTATATCAAAGCAGCAAGATCTGGAGAATGAAAGCAAGCATGGCTAAGAACATAAGTGGCAAATTTCAGTCCCAAGTCAATTTGGCCACCAGTCAGTTTTTGAAAGGGTGCAAATAAAACATAATGAGACTTGGAAGGAGCATGTACAATTTTTGGAAACTGCCTCAAGAACTTTGTTCCTGTAAATGCATTGCCTTCCCTGTCAGCTCTTCCTAAATTCAACTCAGTTTAGAGGCTGGCTGGGAAGCAGGGGTGGGGGACCTACAGGTCTGGGTTGGAAAGAGAAGACCACAGCCTCTCACTCAGCACAAATGTTAAGGCCAATGTCAGAGTCTGAAGTCCTGCTCTGTAAACAGGGGTGTTTTTTGATCTTGGCGGGGCTTCTGCCTCTGCTTCTTCTGGACAATATGGGCACTAAATGCTCCTTCCCGATAAGGTCAGTTGTTGGAGAAGAAAGAAGTCTACCTATTTGCTAGAGGATTAAATTATTTTGATAAAGTTCAAAACCCGTTTTAATGAATCCTCTGTCCTTAATATTGTCTCATTTACATACATTGCTTATACCTTTGGGATGATTTTTTCCCTTTCTCTAATGTTGAAAATTAAAAGCATAGAGGAGCCAATTTTAAAAGACATTAGGTCTGATTGTTGGGTCTTTGCCTTTTTTTTTTTTACAACATGCTATAATTTTCTGTCCACTATGCCTCAGACTATAAGCTTCTCCACCAAAGGCAATGCCAGGAAGTGATAAGGACCCCTCTGAGGAGGAGTAGCTTGCTTGCCAAGGGACTGCTTATCTTGGCCACTCTCTTGAGATGGGAACCTCTTTTTTTTTTTTTTAATTGAGGAGACATTTGTTTGTAGTGCTGTAGTGGTTCCAGGTATACAGCTGCTCAGTTCAGCTCCAGTAAATACCATACTGTCCCCATCAAGCGTCCGGTCACCATCAGCCGGCATCATCCTCTGATGAAGAAAGCCGTGGCCTGCTCTTCTCCCATATCAGCCTCCACATCTTCCAAAAATGGAATCCGGCTCACACCCTTCATCATGTCCCCATCGAGTGACAATGCCACCAGGGGCCACCACACAGGGTGTTCCCCACCTTTTCTCTTTTTGCGGGCCCATTTCTGTAGCTCTCTCCTCACGACTGGTGCTGCAATCCCCCCAACTCTTAATGAGATCTCAAACTCTAGGTCATTGCTCTCCTCATCATCTTCCTGGTGAAACCCTAGACTTTATTCTAGAAAAGTTCAAAAAGATCTTCCCCCTCTTCCTCCATTAAGTAGAGTTGACCACACCCCTTTGTGCCCCCACTGCTACCATCACTCTATTATACAGAGATTAAATGCTCATCTCTCTCTACTAAGCTGGAAGAGAGAGAAGACATTATTATTAACTCATTATATTCCCAGTACATAAACAAAGCAGGCATGCTAAAAATTGGAACACTATGCAGCTATTAAAAACTATGTCATGGAAGAGCATTTGAAACATAGGGTCTATGTCCATGGTATATATTTAAATACAAGGAGCCCATATTTAGAGGTAGTAGCTAAAAGCTCAAATGGCTAGAAACCAAAATGTCTAAAGTGTCTGTCTCTGGGGGGTTGACAATAGAAGATTTTTATATTGTTCTTTGGACTTTCCTCTGTGTCCCAACTATTCTTCATTAAATCCAGTTTATTTTTGCCATAAAAAATATCATTTAATTTATAAAACTTTCTAAAATAATTTATAAATTTTATGCTAATAAAAATAGTCTTTTAATTATGCAAATGAATGTATAATCTAGTAAAGGATAGATGAGAATTCACATCCCATATTCATGTTTGTGTGCATCTATATTATGCTAAAGAATAACCATCACCTAGAATTTGTTATATCACGTGGTTATGTGGAGTCTCAGTCAGAAATCTTATATCAGAGTCAACATTTCTTATAATTCTATTACAATTCTGAAATTCTACTTTAGAAAGGGAGAAAAGATGTTCATTTTTGTTTCCCTTTGTTCATTCATTTGTTTTCTCATCTTCCATATTGAGTGAGAGTGGTTGATGTTTCTTTCTCTGGTTTATGTCACTTAGCATCACACCCCCTACATGCATCCATGTTGTGTAAATAGCAGGATTTCATCTTTTTCATCACTCAGTAGTATTCCATTACAGTAGTAGTAGTCCAGTATATATATATATATATATATATATATATATATATGCCACATCTTCTTTATCCACCTGTCCACCTATGGGCATATAGATTGTTTCCAACTCTTGGCTACTGAGTCACCACATTCTTGGTCTTTTTTTCAACTTCTCTTTTATACAGATTTGGATTCCTCAAAGGACTCATCACTGGCCACGTCTCCTATTGCTAGGATGATAAAAGAAGACGTTTTAGTTAATAAAAACCAATCCCTCCCAGCAGAGGGAAAAGGTTTGTTCTGTTTTAAAATAGCTGCTTTGGAGTCATAGTCATGATGCAACTCTATTTACTGGAACCTGTCACTGTGGGGAAACAAAGGCTGAGAAACAGGAGCTCAGTAGCCATGGTCCCTATTCGGGGGAGTCCTCACTTCTGGAATATCTCACAGAAAAAGCAGGATAGGTGAAAAAATTAAAGCAATCTAGCCAAGCACGATAATAATGAATATGCCCTTGCAATGGTGGCACAGATAAAGTGATCCAAACTCGCAGTGCAACGAGAGCCTGTGGTCAAACCAGCCCTGGCTTGGCCTCCTCTCTACAACCCACCCCCAGGGAGCTGAATGCTGAGTTTGCCAAAGGGTAGTGGTCCCTTTAATTTCAAAATGGAGCCTCACAGTGATTCCCCAAAGGTTAAATGAGAATATATAAAACTGCTTGGGCCAGAGGCCAACACATCTTACGTCTTCACAAATGGAGCCAATCTGGGTAGTCAGGCAGCATTCACTATCTCTGGGTTATTTTTCCGAGGAAAAGAAGATGACTGTTAAAGTTGGTTAAAGGTAGAAAGGCGAGGGCCTGCTGTAGGTGGGGCTTTTTGACAGGATACTGTGGATTTGAAATAAAGCCTCAGAGACAACGGAGAGTGGCTACTAGATCATTAGCTAGCAAACACTGAGAAACTCACTGTACTCCATGGAAGCATGGATTTCAGGAAGACCAGAGAACAAGGGAGAAAGATTAGGCTAAGCACTCAGAACTACAGCTACACAGAAAACCAAACCAGACATAGTCCATTTTTAATGCCAAGAAAACCCCCACAAAATTTATTTTAAAAAATAATAAGTGCTTGCACCTGATTATTAGCTATCTGGGTTCAATTAAGCACACTAATTTTCAAAGTGACTTCAATGAGAAGCCAACACAGTGCTGTCAAATTGGAAAGGCCCAGCGTTGCTGCGCTAGTGGGTTGGGCGTTGTGCTACATCCTTCCACGCATCATGCAAATACATCTTCACAGGGTCCCAAGAAGATAGGTACTCCAAACTTCCTTTGTCCAAGAGAATATTAAAGTGCAGGGAAATTAAGTAACTTCCAAGTTCACACAACCAACCCTGTACTCACACAACCAATCCTGTAACTCTTTTTGGGGGTCCAGAGGGTTTACACAACTAGTGAGCGCCCCAAAGGAGGTCAACTCCCACCCACCTTTGCATGTGATCTGCATGTAGTGTACCAGAGTATGTGCACTCCTTAAATTTAAGATAATTGTGTAGCCTAGCCCTAAGGGGCTATCCAGAGAAAGAGAGCTGAGATGTGACTGATACGGGGAAGCATTGCTCTGGTAGAACACTTAGGTAACCATACTAGAAACTTCTACAGACAGGGAATCCAAGTGGAACTATTGGGGAAAGCTCCATGAGACACTAACCATTTGGGTTCTGAAGTTGGCCATGACGAGAATCTGGAAAAACAGCAAGAATCTGGAAAATCAACAGCAACACGAGTTTGCTTTAGGTTGAATGGGGTTTCACGTGTGTCTCCTTTCTAATCACTATTTTTTACATTTTTCCAAAAATGTATTTTTTCCTATGAAAATCAAGAAGTGATTCTTTCCAGTATTTTCTCATCCCATTCCCTTTAAAGACATGAGTTTCTGGCCCATAAAAACGTACCAGGTAGTGAGTCCCCCAAATGCAATTAAGAAAAAGAAACCTATTTTACAATCTCATTCCAAAATGGTATTTCTCAGACATACCCAGTTTTCTGACTTGATGATGAAATTTTGTCTTTTTAGGTGGAAGACAGCAAATGAAACACCAATTCTCAGAACTAGGTATGTTAATATTTGACATGCTGCGATAATTATTTCATTTAAAAGTATGTATTTCTAGTTTCAAATGACTAAGAAAAATAACAAGCATAAATTTTAAAAACAAGAGTGTGTTTTAACTTGGGTCACATAAAATTGTAAAGGCACACAATCTATGCTTTATTTTTAAAAATTTCCTATTTTCTTAAATACTTAAGAAATAGCTACATAACCTGATCATTTTTAAGTTAAATACTTTAGCTGTCTTACCAATCATGTCTACTTGAGAACATTCTCATAAGTTTATGAAAATGTCTCAAAAGTTTGTAAAACAATTGAATGTCTCTCTTCCCCACTGTAAGAAAGCAAAGACCTTGGAATCATACACTTAATTAACACCATATAAAAATAAATATGACCCAACCGTGTCTCAATCTGGATTCATTTTTGGCCTGTGCTGCACTTTAGGGCTATCTTCCTAGCCCTCTGTTACTAGAGACTGGCTTCCCTTCCTTTCAGAGCTGTGGTACAAATGCTTTAATTCATTATGTACATATTTGCTATTCTGCATTTCTAAGTCTCCATTCACAGTTGAACTGTGCCATACTTCACGCAAGAAAAATGGACTGTAGAACTGAATCTATGTCTTATAAATTAAATTTAAGTGGACCAGAAGGTTGAGCAATACCAGTGAGAAGTAAAGTTACTTTTACTTCTTTTTATCAATAATAAGGCTTTTAAATACAAATTAGCTGAATAAATATGGCCTTGGGCCTGTATGTCTTGCCTTCAATTCTATTTGGAAGCACTACAATACACAAGAGTACCTCTCACTTCAATTTTGTTTCATTCTCAACATGTAAAAGATGTGAAAAATATTTTGGTGATTTTATTATAGACTGCATGAGAACACTGTGGAATGAACAGAAGCACGGCATATAGGCGACCTGAACTGTGGTTGTCTGATTTAGGATAAATAACTTCATCTCATTTGTCTTTCCCTCATTTGTAAATTGCTCTTAAAGTTTTCTTCCAAACTTCCCATTCCTTGATCCATTCAACACTTTTTCACGCCGCTAAAGATGATTTTCTCTTTTTGAAGTTTGAAGCTATGGAAGAGTCTGTGGCTTTTCCCATAGGTGGAATGCTCATAAACTCTTAGTCATGTCCCTTTGAGAACACTGGTCTCCAATGGAAACACTGAGGTCTTGGCTCTGTCATTAACTGGATGTGTGACCTTGATCAAAAGACTTTATCACTCAAAATTCCTGTTTCCCACTTGGTTGCTTTGAGAAAAAATATTCTGAAATGATAAAACATACATCAAAATACATGAATGTACTTTCTATAAAAATGTAAAGTAATATTACCCTGATTGTACCTGTGTTACTTTCAGATGATAGTTGATTTCACACTTCTGTGATTTTCTGCTCTTTTTTTCTTCCACAGTGATCACAGTCATTATTTTCGGGGTGATGGCTGGTATCATTGGAATTATCCTTTTTATTGCTTTCTGTATTGGCCGACTGAGAAAGGTGAGAAATCTGTTTTTAATTTTATTGTAAGTACTCGTGTGAACAGCCTAGAAGGGTTTATTCCTCTGGGGTCAATTAAATTCAAAGAGAAATAAAACTGTAAAAAGAACTACATCTTTTTCACCTGATTATGCAGAAGTCACTGACTTATACTACTAGAATTTTTTTGTATTTTTCCTCTAAAGTTCCCCAAATATAAATCCACCCCTCATTTCCTAATGAAAGATCCTGCAAAGTTCTTGTCTAAGATAATTTAATGTATTTTGATGGCTATAGAGGAAATAGTCAAATTTCTAATTATAGTATATATTTTAATTTGTAGATGAAATATATTTAAAACAACACATTTACACATTGAAAACATTTGCTTTTTTCCATTCTATTATTTCCTGAAACAATTTTTTTCAAATCTCACCCGTGAATTTTCCAGCATGAGTACCTTTTTTCATCACTAAAGCTAATTTTAAATCCCTGTGACACAGCATTCCGAAGCATGTGTCCTTTTACTATAACCTTCCACTTAAAACATTTAAGACACATCGTGTGTGTGTGTGTGTGTGTGTGTGTGTGTGTGTGTGTGTGTGTGTGAGAGAGAGAGAGAGAGAGAGAGATGCTGTGAGTGGAAAAGTAATCCTAGATCTTTAAGTACCTACTCACAAAGAACAGTACAGCAGAGTTCTCCTTCATCCTTTCTTGTTTTTATATTATTATTTTGTCCATTGACAAACACTGCACATATGTTTTCCATCCCTGGAAAAAGAATCCCAGGGTGTTCCCTCCTGTGTGTTTTTGTCAGCTGGTGCATGATGCCAGCTGAGCTGTCAGTACAATGAAACCAAACCAATGGGACAGAAGCAGATTTTTCCGCCATTTTTCCAGATCTCTGAGTTACACATCAAATCTAGGGCTGATCACTCCACACTTGTTTAACCCACCTGTGAGTGTCACAATTTTTCCCAGCTCTGTAATCATCAATATTTCAAATTCACCGAAGTAACCATGCTTCATCATCACAGTTAGCGGCTGGGTGATGACTTTGGATCACAGCCTAATAAGAACCTGGGGTTTGCCTCTTCCCAGCATTGTTGATGCTATTGAGAGCAGCAGCCAGGACGTCCATTCATGTGCACCATTATGTAGAAAGACGGTGGACAGAAGCAACCTCTATTCCGGATCACTCCTTTGATTTCCACACTATAGCCACTCTCTTGATTCTTTTAAAGAGCAGGAACACTCTAGTGAGGCTTTAACAACAAGAGTGGTAGTAAAGCTACATACATGGGTTCCTTGACCCTTTTCTTTTCAAATTATTTTAATCTTTCTCTTTTCTTTTTATTTGCATTGGGCAAATTCTATAATCCTCCAGACTTATGACTGATTATCATTACCCCATGTATCACCTTTAAATAATGTTCTTAATATTTTTTTGGCTACCACTCAGCAGTTGCTTTGTTTTTGTTTCTTTATATTCCATATGAGTGGAATGTCTTTCTCCTGACTTCTTTCACTCAGCATCATCCTCTACTGTTACACCCATGTTTCTGTAAATGGCAAGAATTCATCTTTCTATTTTCATAGCTTAGTAGTATCCCATTGTGTGTGTCTGTGCGTGTGTGCATATATATGTATACATATACATATTTTATCTTTAATCCACTCATTGGTCATGAGGCATTGTAAATAGAGCTGTGATGAACATAGGAGTGCACATATCCTTTCGAATTCATGCTTTTGTATTCTTTATCCAGATACCTTGGAGTAGAACTGCTGAGTCATATGATAGGTTGATTTCTAGCATTGTGAGCTGCCGCCATATTGTTTTCCATAAGGGCTGGCCCAGTCTACAGTCCCACCAATAGTGTACAGGGGTTCCTTTTTCTCAACAGCCTTGCCAAAGTGTGTTGTTTCTGGTTTTTTGATAGGGACCATTCTCATAGGTGGGAAGTGGTATCTCATGTGGATTTTTTTTTCCATTGAAGTAACATTGCATTATAATTTTATATAAGTTTCAGGTGTGCATCATTGAGAGTCAGTATGTGCTTGTACTACATTAAGTTTGCTAATAAACATACAATTCTATCCTCCATCAGGCCATTGTTTCCTTTGTCCCAATTTACTCAACGCCTTTCCTTTATTGTCCTGGCAACCACTAATTGGTCTTAAAGTTCAAAAATTTTAAATAATACTTTCTTAATAAGAACAAAGAGTGTATCTGTTCTAATGGGAGCGATTTTGTAAGAACCTGAATATAAGATGACTTCTCTTGCCTAAGTATAAATATCAGGGGGGAAATCACCTTGTGTTGGGTTGTATGTATGTGTAGGTACATTTTAATCAAAAGAAAACAAACTCTAACCAAAATATAATTTTAAATGTAAGGCATGTTTCTTTTTTTTTTTTTTTTTAAGATTTATTTATTTATTTATGTAAGCACTGGGTACAGTCAGAATCGCGGGAGGGTGAGAGAATTCACCAGAGCCAGAGCAGGGAGCAGAAAAGGCAGACTGACGAAGTACACTGCTGAGGGGAGCAGCGGGCGGCAGGAGAGGTCTGCGCGCCATGTGGGACCCTAGCCCAGCGGCCGGGGATTGAACCGGTGCAACAGAGGCTGCGGGCAGCTTCACAACCCAGCGCTCAACCGCTGCGCCACCGGGGAGGCCCAGGCATGTTTCTTTATAGTGTCTTAAGTTTTGAAAATTTTGGCATTAATATTTTTCTGTTTCTTATTCATAGAAAAATTCACCTGGCGTAGCACCTGAATTGTACCAAGTTGCTCCCTTAAGTTCTATAGAAATAGAAAATCCAGGTTGGTGATAATATTCTTATTGCTTTTTGCATTTTGGGGCGAGAAATAAATTAATAAGTGATTCCTTTTGTTGTTGGGAAGGTTTACCCAATTAGAGTCATCTGTGTTCTATTTCATCACTGCCACCTTGTAAGATCTTTTCTTAAGGTGAACATTTGTCTGCAGCATAGTAAAATTCTCCCTTAGTCACAGACTAGCTTCTTAAAAGGAATAGAGCATACATGATAAGTAAAAGCAAAACCAAGTTCTTACTTCTTATTTTTCAAACTGCAAATTTGTCTATCAGAGACCCCTCAATGTGTATGGTTTAATCGTCCCAGATCTGGAGCCATAGATTTGAATCTATGCTCCAACCCTTGTTAGCTGTGTAACCCTTCACAAGCTGTAAATATGGAGAGAGCACTAATTTAATATGGAGATCATTTGGTCTGCACATAATGATAATTTGACCTCATGTTTCACAAGGATCAAATGACCTATGAGTGGAGGATTTAGAACAGTTCTTGGGCATTGTAAGTGCTCCTGCCTGCTAGCAGTTATAAATATTTCAACTCTATTCCCAAGTGACCTCCTCTACACAGCTGGCCAGTCACCTGGCCCACTGCTTCCTGTCCTCTCACAGGTGCTAAGTAGGTACGTGGCATGTGGAAGACTGCAGATATATTTTGCTTACACAGAGCAGTATTGACCCTCACAGTGTTTTATAAAAGGAGCATTCATTGCCAGCCTTAAAAAGTGGGAAATTTTTACATTAAAAAAATCCAAATATTAGTGACTCTTACAGACATAAGTAGAAACTGTAACAGAGCTGGGACCTTCCCACCAGCAAGAGAGCTGAAGAGTGATGCTGCCTCCACTGGTGGTTTTAATATCTGGGCAGTTTCCTTTACTACATTCCTTATGGCCCCGTGGAGAGCTTCACTCATCGTGTCTTGTCTTTTCTTTTTTTAATGCATACAAGAACTGGGGTGCAGGCCAGAGGTGCAGGGGGTGAGAGGATTCACCAGAGACAGAGCGGGGAACAGAACAGGTGTATTGACTGAAATACACTGCTGAGGGGAGCAGTGGGAGAGACAGGAGAGGTCTGCTTTGCCACGTAGGTCATCTCCCTGGCCAGGGATCGAACTCATGCAGTAGTGGCTGGTGAATGGCTTAAACATAATCTCAGCTGAAAGGATTAATTAAATTCTATCTGCAGATACTTTAGTAAAAAAGCTTTGAGTTATGTATGAGGCTCATTTCATTTATTAAGGTTACCTTGTTCTAGGATTTGCAGCTGGGACAAGTAATGTAAAGTATTTACCTACATTCTGCCTTGCTTCCAAAAAAATGTTTTCCTGTAGTTTTGAACATGAGCAATGACCATCCAAAGCTTGAACTTTTGCCACCTAAATGTCTAGATACCTTTGCCTCTTATTTATTCTGCTGACAAATTTAGGGTTTAGGGCTTCCTCTGCCTTTGTTTTCCATCCAGTCTTGACAGAGAAATCCACAAAAGTAGGAAAAAATCCAGTCTTCCAATAGGTATTAAAACTCCTTGACAGACATTTATAAAGTGCTTACTGTGAACAGAGCATCAGCTTCACAGTAAATATGTCAGTAGGAGTCTCTGTGTTTCGAAGCTGGGAGTCTAGTGGGGGAACAGACAGTTTATGTGGTTTCCAGTTTTCAATGTGGCCTTGCCATGAGCAAGTGCTAAGGTAACAGAGTTGTTAGCATTTAAAACAGACTGGAGCAGGTAGCAGAGTCTTCTGGGGATGGAGTTACCAAAGGGCAGTCCTGAAGCACGTGTGGACATTACCCAGCGCAACTAAGCTCCAGAGAGACAGGCAGAAGGAGCAAAGGCCTGGAAGGATGCAGTCCAGGGTGTCCCCAGAAAGCTCTGTGCCTTTCCACATTAGCAAGATCAATGTATTTCCTGTTCATGACTCAAATATATAATAGGCAGTGGAATCGAATGAACCAAATTTTCATTTCATTTCATTGTACTTGTTCAAATGAAATTATTAAAGTATCTTAGTAAGTTAGTGAAATGGGTTATAAAATCTGACCCCACTTACAAGAAACATTGGAAAACACATAAAATTATTTTTAAATGATTAAATTCTGTTTTTAGAAAAAATTGGGCAAAAGGAATTTAGGCCATGAGATGAGAGTCAACTAGGCCATCTCAACAAAAACTAGAATGCTAAGGTCTAAAAGATGAATAGCTTTGACTCCCTTGAACTTGCGTAGGATTAATGGCTGGTGGGAAATAAGAATAAGTGAATCCGAGGCATTCGCCCACGGCAGCAACCACATGGCCCACTCATCCCACTTGTCAGGGGAGAATGCTTGGGCTGCACAGTGCCTGTGATAGCCACATAGAAGAAAACAATGGGGGATGGGGCCTTGCTGATGGCTCAGGGGTTAAGTCTCAGTGCTATGAAGTGGTCACCAGCCACTGTGGCCAGAGTTGGGTCCCTAGCCAGGGAGCTGACCCACATGGCGCAGCAGACCTCTCCTGTCTCGCCCGCTGCTCCCCTCAGCAGTGTACTTCAGTCAATCTGCCTGTTCTGCTCCCCACTCTGTCTCTGGTGAATCCTCTCACCCCTGCACCTCTGGCCTACATTCCAGCTCTTGTATGCATAAATAAAATAAAAAATAAATCTTTAAAAAAGAAGGAAACAATGGGAAATGCTCAGCTTCCACTAGAGCAAAGCTCTGTCACCCTTTCCACATACTCTCTGTGAGTAACATGAATCCAGCCTTCCAACCAAGGAAGGTAGAACACCTGCTTTGATGGGGGAGACCTGTCCACTGCCCCCCTTCCACATGCTAGAATACAGACTGGGGGGCATGCCAGACAGGCCTGCGTTCAGACATACACATCATTCAATTCACTGTCAATGGCTGCCTCCCACTATATTCCCCCTCCCCCATCTGCCCCACATTTTCTATTAGTATCTCATCTCTGCAGAAACTAGGAAGAGAGTAATTATGTTTGTTCCTTACCTAAGGCTTTTAGAATAGATTTCCTAACAAATTTTATGTATTTCTTTACACATAACACTAGTAGAGCTAGTTTAAAAGAAATTGCCTTCATTTCCTAACAATTATATTCGAGAATAACTCTAAGAATTATAGACTGCTGAAATTTATTTTATGCATTAATATTCTGTTGTATTTCAGCATAACCATGTCTCACACTGCTGTTCAATGTTTTTTCCTCTATAATTCTTCCACAGAAAAGTAATCAATGAGAATCTGCTCACCAAGCAAAATTTTGGAAGTACTCAAAGACACAAGACATCCGTCAAGGGAAAAATAAACATGTAAATTGGATGCTTCGATAAATTGTCTGCCTTCCTAAACTGTACAATTTCAGGATGAAAATCTCATCCTGAATTCAGAGATTCAATGATGAAAAATATCTTTACTCATTAGTATTCCAAAATGAAGAACAAATATTTCCTTTCATGCTTGCTTTTGTGTGTTAGCCTCATTTTTATAATTCATTGATTCAGAAATGTGATCCAAAGTTTCAGTTGGCTTCACCCCACAGTTTTTTAAGGCCAACTTGGTCTTTTCTGTTTTTTTTAATGACTAGGCTGTCAAATGAAAGGCTTGTAGCATCTAGATGAAATCTAAGTTCTTTTAAAATATGAGTCTATTTTCACTGTTTTAAGTAAATTAGAGGGATACAAATTCACTGCTGAATAGGCAGGAAATGATATAATACTAATCAATATGGTATCTTAGTCACACTAATAAAGCTTGGAAAAGCATTGCATACCTATATATATGTACACTTATATACATAGACATAGAGATATGAATATAGATAAATAAAATCATACCCACATTCATCCTTTAGGACATAAATCAACACAAAAGGTTTTCCCCATAAAAAATGAGATGTTACACGTGTATAAATGACCCATTTAAAAGACCTCCTTCAAGGCGCTGATGGGTGGAACTGTTTTAATCTCCTTGAACTTCTCGAGCCAATTTCTCTGTATTACTATCTATAGACTTATCACATGTATAGTTAATGTTTGTGGAGAAAATGAGCTTAATTCTCTTCATATTTTTATAATTAAATCAACATAAAATTATAGTAAAGAAATGTTACCTATCAGACCAACAAGATGTACAAACTTGACATGCAGATGAATATTTTAATAGGTCACTCTGTGGTCTCAATTAAATATTTTAATACATCTATAATACATCCAATCCTTGTCTTTCTTATTAATAAAGTTCTGGAAATTGGTTTAAATAATATGAAAGAAACTTTAGATATGAGACTAAGTCTTCATGACTATACTGCAGTCATTCATTTATAGTGAAATTTAAAAAGCAATGTAAAAGCAAAGATGTACTTTCCTGTGACTTCTACTTTTGAATCTTGAAAAGTTATATGTCTTTCCATTGTTGTGTGAGAATTAGGTAAATAATATTATGTATGTATTTGGGTCTGGCAACTTATACTTTTTAATAAATTTTTTAAAATATGAATTTTAACCTACATGTATGTCCAGAGCATCTTGTACTAAATCAGCTACTTAAAATAAAGAATAAGAAAAGTACATTTCTGTTGGTAAATATTTTTGTTTTCTCTGTATTATTTAGTTTGATCAAATAGATGAACAGGTGCCAGGGAAGTTCTTAATGTACTTTTTTCCAATAAAATTAAAATGCTGAACTGAGAAAAAAATTTAAGACTAACTTGTCTCTAATTTACAAGTCAAAGACAGTAAGAGAGGAAAGGAATTATCCTATCTCCAGCAGAGTTAGCGAATTCAGAGAACAATTAAAATATAAATTGTTTTACCCTCGAAATTTTCTAGTCAATTTTTCTGTATTTCTAGCTGTAGACTTATCACATGTAGAGTTAATGTTTGTGGGAAGAAATGATCTTAATTCTCTTCATATTTTTATAATTAAATCAGCATAAAATTACAGTAAAGATGTTACCTCTCGGACCAACATAATGCCATGATTCGTGTTGAATTTCTTAAAATCTGAGCCAGGAATGGGAGGTGAGGTGAAGCTGATTAGAAGACTTTTCTTTCAGATATGTGAAAGTGTAAATAAAGGTTCTAAAGTGAATCAAAAATGAATGGAGAGAGACAAAAGGGGGAACATGGGAGGTGAGTAGTGCTATAATTATACATTGTTGAGAAAATCAGGATGAGGCTAAAATAAAATAATGGTGCTTTTTTGGTATCTTTAATCTGTAAATTGGGAGGCACAAACTCAAGTATCAGCCCAAAGTGTGTCCCCCCTGGGGTCTTTAAGTGGTTTGTTTTTGTTTGTTTGTTTTAAAGAACAAAGATGGGGTGGAAGATAGACTTGACAAAGGATCAATTTCATTGGCCTTTAGTAAAGTTAGCCTTTGTTAATATGGAGAGAAGAAAAAGACAAAAAGACTTTTCTATGCATGGTTCTAGATGGAGAATATTTTGACAATCAGCCTATAGTTTGTTTGGTTTTTAAGTTAAAGGTTCAGTAAGATTGAGTCTCAGACATGAAATGGAGTCAGTTCAGTCAACCAGAACACCCGTTTTTATAATAGCAATTGAGGCGGAGATTTTTGGTTTAGTCTAAGTATTTGTCTTATTGAGTACAGCTTCACACAAGAAACTCCTAAAACACCAATGCCATCCAAGCAAAAATCAATACAAAATTCTACCCAGTATCATGTTGGACCAATTTTTGTGCCAAGTAGTCATAATTGTATTTATGCTGTGAACTCTGTGAAAGGGGGAGAAACTGGAGAAAATGTAACTGGAGAAATGTACTAGCAACTGATAAACCCCTCCCAACCTCTAGACATAAACATGTCCTCTGAATCCGCACATCAATTGTGTTACATATTTACAGCATTCACTATGCTCTGAATTCCATTCCCTGCTTAATGGAGATTTGTTGAGAGAACTTCAAATCATCCTTGCAACTCCCATGAGGTATCACAAACTTGCTTTGTATTTCATGAAGCTTTTTTAATACTTAAGATTATACATAGTGATAACATAAAAATTTCATTTGGCATGGGGTGGAAGGAAAATCCATTTTGGAGTCAGAGTTTAAACCGTGTCTGTAATTTAAGGTAAAGAATTGTTGGCATGCAGACTGAGGGGTACCCCGGGCCCCTCAAACTTACATACTCTAACAGGTCTAGGCATCCGTGCACACAAAAGCAAAGACTTAGTGTGAAAAATTTTTTAATAGGATTAGCGGGGGTGGGAGGAGCAGAGAAAAGAACAAAAGGTAAATTTCCCAATAAAACACCCAAAGTTACTCATCTCTTGTGGGTAAGTGCCCAGCCAAACAGGGTCAGCCTGAAGTAGGGCTGTGGAGGTCCAAAAGCTAAAATATCTTTGGTGGGGATTATCACAAGGGAGCAAAAAGGCCCTGGCAAGTCTGGGATGAAAGAAGCAAAATCAAAGCACAAATCAAGTTAACAGCTGCCATTGTCAGCCTCCCCAAGTGTCTCTCACCCACATGTCTGCTCCCAGTTCTCAGAGTCCTTAGTGCAAGTCCAAAGCCAAGAAGTAAGCATGCTCTCTTCTCCACGCCTCGCTCTGTGTCTCCAGAGAGCACCTGCCTTCCACTTTTATAGCTTCTCCCGGCCCCTCATTTCTATCCTAGCTCCCAGGAGCGAGCCCAAGGAGGCAGCATGTAAACAGGAGAAGGGACATGGTACCTCCCCCCTTCCCAGAGATGCCTCTGGTCCAGAATCACACCTTGCATAAATGTTTTGAGATTTATGTGAATTGAGGTATGTAGGGTACTAACAGCACCAAGGAGTTGTTCAATAAATGTTAGCTCTGATTAATGTCAATTATGACAAATCCTTCCTAACTTTCTTCCAGCAAAGCAGTGGATTTCTGTAGTCTATCCTCTAAATCTGTCCCCAGATTTCTTTTAGCCATCTCCTCCTTATGCAAAATAAAAGAGCCAAATGCCTATCTTTTGTCCCTAGAATCTAACAATATGCTCTTTCACTGAGTAAGTGGTCAAAAAGAAATCCATTGCCTTTAAACATTTCATTTTTCATTCATAGTTATAAAATATACCTGAGATTAATTTGAAGACAATGGATTGAGAAAATTTTTATTTCAATGATAAAAGGAAGTAATCTACTGATTTTCATCATTTTTTAAAACATCCAATATAATGACTCACTGGGGACCTTTATAATTTGAAAAAAGCCTGGCCCTCAAGCAATTCTGACCTGCCCTTTTAAAGAATTAGTTGGAAAGCATGTGGTGGTTCGGATTAGTATGAAAGAAATCCTTGCCCTTTATGCTTAACAGCTAATAATGGAACCAAAATGCAAATGAACTCAGCACCTGCTTCCATAGGGTGCAGGGATAACTTACCTGAAAACATCTGTTCAAAGAAGAGACTTTCTGGATATTCAACTCATTTAGCCAACAGAAACATAGCCTCTTTTCAGAATCACTGATTCTACTAACTAAAACTCAAGCAGTTTCAACCATGCTCTGATAAATCTTGTCAAAAAGGTTCCTTTGGAACCTCAGGTGGCCTCTGGGTTCATAAAACTTTCTAAACCTTCTCTTCTCCTGAAGTGACCCGGTTGTGATTGTAACAATTGATTTGGTTCATTCTGTTGTCTGCATAAATATGGACATTGGAATTATATGACTTCGATTTTAAGGTCTTTGCAGAAACAAGGCCGGAAATGTTCTCATTTGTATCACCAAGGCACCAGAGTACAATTATGTGTTCAATAAATGTTTCATCATTTAAATTCATTCTAGCACAAACATCAGGAACAATATGTCAATATAGCAGACATTGCTTTAAAAGCTTTTTTGCTCTTCACAATCCCCTCAAGGTATGTACCATGTTGTTCTTATATAAAGGTGAAGAAACGAATGGGCAGAGAAACTGGATGATTTTCCCAGTGAATTACAGCTTGTGAGTGGTTGACTAAGTTTGAACCTATAGAATCAGTACCAGAGTCCATTTTCTCAACCACAGTGTGATATTGCCTCTTGGGACTTCTGCTTCTAGAAATGGTGGGCCATGCTTCAGAGCCACTGCCTCTAGGAAGGAGAGGCAAATGTTTGTGTTAAGCCAATGGAGAGCATCAAAAAATTTTTCAAGGCAGTGAGGATGCTAATGACCAAGATCCTAGAGAAGGGAGGCCCTGAAATCTGAACCCTCTATATCATACCACATTTTCCCAGCATGCATCTGCCAGTTCCAAAGCAGGATGTGAAATGTGCAGAAGCTAAGCAGAGGTTAGCAGAGCTGGGACTAGAAAGTACAAATGTTGGAATTCAGAACCCATCAAAGAGGGCTTTGGTGAACAACGCAGGCTTTCAGCTAGAGTCCCCCGAGCGTTGTCACCTAACAGTGGGGACAAATCAGAAATTGTCAAACCCTCACAAAGAGAATGACTTCCCTTGTGTCATTTCAATCTCAGATTAACTGAAGGTTATTTTCCCATCCCCATCTGCCTGATAGAAGTTAATGTGAATCTTTCCTAGAGGAGAGTAACAAAGTGCAGATCCTCAAATTATCTCAGTGCTTTTTATACAGAATGCCTGATGAGCTGTGAATCCCATTGTGTCTAAGTAAACACTATTCTTTCTCAT